TCCGGATGCGCGCGCAACCCTCTGCGGAGATCGTGCGTGTCTAGTGCACGAAATGCAGGCGAGAGTGCGATATATACTTGCAAGAGGACGCATATACTTGCAAGAAGTTTCACGCACGCCACAAGCTTTTGCAATATTCATATCCCACATGAACCTTTACAAGGCAAGCAGAGCCTTCTTATGGCTATGCATGCGCTATTTACTACTTTGCAGCCCACTAGCTCGTAGGTCTGCCTCTTGGCCCAGCCATCATGCCAGGGAACCTTGGCATTGTTGACGACCACTTCTTCAGCGTCAACCAGGATGACCAGAGACAGGTGTGCCTCTGTTGGTCCTATGGAGGCAGGACATACCATGACGACCAGCCAGAGCTCATCCATGAAAGATGGCCAAGCCAGTCCATAGCAACCAGACGCTGGGTTGCCCATGGAGAAACCTGGCAGTTTTGGCGAGTGGTCCAGTGGTCCAGTGGATGGGAAAACTGGGTTAGGAACAACAGCCGCAACTTCACAGATGCCTACACCATCCAGATCTGCTTCGGGTGGACGAGCTAGACCCAGACCAGGCAAAGACCCTGAATGGAGGTGAACAAATCATAAGATGTTCACATGATAACCAGAACAGCGAGAGTACGCTAAAACATCTACAGTGCCTGCTGTGTGTCACCTCACGCTACTTTGTCGCGTTTTTCTTTGAGACAGTCAATTAATCAATGACAAGCATAGTGGTTGGTTAACTACATCCTAGAAAAGCTGTGTCCTGGAGTGAAGTAAACGTTTTTGCCCGGAAGATATATATCGATGGACGCATCTCCTCTGACAGGTCACTGCTTCGAGACGCTTCTGGCGTGGCTGCCTCAGCATTTTCTGTGTTCATTCCAGCTCGGTTTTTTCAGTGAGATTCCCTGCAGCCGTGCGCGCTGCTTCTCCCCTTACCAGCAGCTCACATGCTCATGACGATGAGCTGGGCTGTCACCGCTTGGCTGCCGGTGGGGGTTGGGAGGCGGCGCGCTACTTCGTTCATCTCCTCTGACAGGTCACTGCTTCGAGACACTTCTGGCGTGGCTGCCTCAGCATTTTCTGTGTTCATTCCAGCTCGGTTTTTTCAGTGAGATTCCCTACAGCCGTGCACGCTGCTTCTCCCACCAGCAGCTCACATGCTCATCCGCTTGGCCGCCGGTGGGGGTTTGGGAGGCCTGCGCGCTACTTCGTTCATCTCCTCTGACAGGTCACTGCTTTGACACACTTGTTGCGTACCTGCCTCGGCACTTTTCTGTCCTCATTCCGGTTCGTTTTTTTCCGTGAGCTTTTCCTGGCGCCGTGCACGCTGCTTCTCCCCTTACCAGCAGCTCAAATGCTCATGACGATGAGCTGGGCTGTCACCGCTTGGCCGCCGGTGGGGGGTTTGGGAGGCCGCATCACACACAGACACCCACGCACTGCCTCAA